TAAAGATTGCAACTGTGTCACCACTCACTCTTCTCTTTATTAAGATGAACATGCCCATCTCAGTCAACCTTTATTCATATGTTTTGTTCTCCATACCTTTTACCTTCATTGCTTTTCTCGGAACTCACTCTAACTCGTCTATATTCTTCTGAAAATGAGACACCTGGAACAGTACTCCACCTGAGGCCTGACCAGGACAGACTATAGTGAAACTGTTAATTCCTTTCACTTGGAAACTATGGTTCATTCTCAACCTATGATCAAGGTTCTTTATGCATGTAGTACTGCTAAGCCATATATTTCCCATTCTGTATCAGTGCATATAATTTTTATGTCCTAAATCAAGAAGTTTGCATTTGTTTCATTTTATTAATTTTTGCCCACTTTTCTGGTTTATCAAGGTACTTTTGGATTCTGCCCCTATCATCTGATGTGTTAGGCACCCCTCTCAGTTCTATATCATCTGTAAAATTGATAAAGATTCTGAAACCATTCGAATCACTGATAAAAAATAATGGGGAGCATTAGCCCCAGGACAGAACCCAGTGGCACTTCACACTACTCCCCCTTCCAGTTTGAAGTGAGCCACTCCTGCTGATTACTACATTATTGTCAAGAGACATGCAAACAGACTCTGTATAATCAATTCTAATATTTTGTCCTGATAGTGAGGTTAGCCTGACTGGTCTGCATTTTCCTTGAGCTTCTTTTGTGCTTTTTAAAAGAGGGAGACAATTTTTGCTTGTCTCCAATCCTCTGGGATCTTACTCATTTCCCAAGACTTCTCAAAAAGTGGTTCTGTGATTATGTCAGCAGGTTCCTTTGATACTCTGGGATACAGTTCATCTGCCCCTGCAGATCTGAACTCATTTAGGTTAACTAGATGATTCCTGACTAATTCCTCGATTTGCAACCCAAATTCTTTGTCAAGTATCTACTGATACATGGAAGCACACAGTCCTCTTTTATTGGGGGGGACGGGACGACTGATGCACAATAGGTATTGAGCAGTTTTGCCTTTTCATTATGATCTGTTAGCACAGTATCATGCTTGCTAAGCAGCAGTCCAACCATTTCTTTTGTTATCCTCTTGCTTCAAATATATTTGGAAAAAAGAACCCTTTTTGTTGCTCCTTGCCTGCCTGGCCAGTCTCAGCTCATCTTGACCTTTAGCTTTCCTTACAGTTCTTCTGCAAACCTGGGCTACACACCTGTGTTCTTTCTTAGTGATTCATCCTTCCTCCCATCCTTTATTGATGCTCTTTTTCCTTTTCACTTCCTCCTTGGATTTACCGTGACTCTTTAGTGTATTTCCCATTGTTCTTCTTCCATGGAATTGTTTTTGACTGTGATTTTAGTAGGACCTTCTTCATGAAATTGCACCCACGTAGGGAGTCTTTTTCCTTTATTATCTCTAACCATGGGATTCTGCCCAATATCCTGAGCTTGATAAATTCAGCTTTCCTGAAATCCAAGGTTTGTATTGTTTTTAGTGTTTGCTGCTTTGGGTATCTTTTTAAAGAATTAGAAGAGGATAGAAATAATAATAATAATAATAATAATAATAATAATAATAATAATAATAGCCTATACTCTGTTTTGAGTTGTTCCACAAGCATATAGTCATTCCTCATTGAGCACCAATTGTGTTGATTCTAATGACAAACTTCTCCCTAGTGGCTAGAATCAAGTCCAGAATTGCTTATTCCCCTTATTCCTTTCTTCACCTTTTGAAAGAAAAAAATAGTGGGCAAAATAACTAGGAATTTGTTGGAGAGTCTATATCTTCCACAACTATCAATTCTTGCCTCTTGGAGATTTTTGAGATTTGTTTCAGAAAAGCATCATCCACCTCATCTTGGTTTGGTGGCTCATAGTAAGCTTCTACTATGATGTTTTGATTTCTTTTTTCATTTATTTTGAAATTCCAGTTGATGAATGGAGTTTTAATGAGGTCATTGTCTCCCCATCCAAATGCATCTTTCACTATTTCACAGTTTTTATTTTATTTAATTTCACTTCTATATGGCTGTCACATTGGCTGTGGGAAGGAATCCCACTGGTGCATTGAAGCACACTAAAATACCTGGGAGTTACTCTGGATGGTGCTCTGAGTTACAAGAAGCACTGCTTGAATATCAAGCAAAACGTGGGTGCTAGAAATAATATACGAAAGCTTACTGGCAGAAACTGGGGATCACAACCAGATACAGTGAAGACATCTGCCCTTTGTTGCTCTGCTGCCTAATATGCATTCCCAGTGTGGAATACATCTCACAACGTTAAAACAGTGGATGTGGCTTTTAATGAGACGTGCTGCATTATCACAGGATGCCTACGTCCTTCACCACTGGAAAATTATACTGTTTAGCTGGTTTTGCACCACCTGACATCCATCGGGAAATAGCAGCCAGTAATGAAAGGACCAAGGCATTGACATCTCTGGCCCATCCTCTGTTTGGACATCAGCTAGCATGCCAAGGTCTTAAATCAAGAAATAGCTTTCTAAGATCTGCAGAGATACTTGCAGGAACACCTCAGCAAGGGAGAGTCCAAAAGTAGCAGGCTAAAACCTGGAACCTCAATCAGTGGCAGATATCAGATGAGAAAGTCCCACCTGGACACACAGAAGACTAGGCGACTTGAAAGGTACGAGATGCAGAGCCAATCTTTAGAAATGGGGCTACAAAGTGGAGTCCGTGACATGAGAGTGTGGTCTGAGCCCTGCCACATGCACAATGGAGGACCTTCTCACAGCAATATCAGAGGCACTCTAAGTGGCCAGCTTCTGGTCAAAGGAAATTAGGATAATGCAAAGTTCTTAACTGTTTGTTAAGAATACAATATAACTGTATTCTCAATTGGCTTATGAAATGATAATAAAATAAATTATGTTGGCTGACCATATAAGTCATAATGACATTTGAATTGGATGAAGATCATGTAGCTTTTTTTTGGTGGGGGTCCCTTGAACTCATACCAATTACCCCAAGTTGCTCCCCCCTTACAAAATTGGTGACCCTTAAAACTTGTTTGCTGCATATATGCTGTACTCCACCCTGAGTCCCATTAGGGGTGAGAAGGGTGGAATATAAATGTTTAAAATAAATAAATAAATATGGCCTAAACAACACACATAAAGGTTTAAAATGTATGGCTAGCCCTAAAAGAGCAATCCCCTTTGACACTCTGTGAGAGGCGACCAAAAGTGATATATCACCACTTCTAAACACCAAGTGGCAGCTCTTATGGTGTATCTCTGGAGCTTGGGAGATGCAAAAATTTGGCTTTCTGGTGATGGAAATACTTGCAGGAACATCTCAGCAAGGGAGAGTGCAAAAGTAGCAGGCTAAAACCTGGAACCTCAATCAGTGGCAGATATCAGTGGCATACACCCTCTGATGTAAGCAACAACAGGACAGACATATCAAGATGATAGACAAGGGCACTTGGTTACTAGGGCAACAGGGGCATTGCTCTGTTATTTCCCGTTCCCTTCTACACCTTCCCCTCCACCATCACTGACTGGAATTTACCTGTATGTCATTGTTGGCTCACTGCTTCGGTGATTCCTGCATTAAGTGCTACAGCGGCCTTTATAATAGCACGTCTTGAGCATGTGCTACAGACTTGTGTGCTCAGAAAGGTCTCTTATTCTAAATTTAGCCTGGAGGCAGTGAAGGAGATCATTGAAGAGGACTGCTCACTACACTCCCCAAGTTTTGTTCTGACTGAGCTTGATGGACCCAGTGAGAGCCATAAAAATGGTATCACTTGGGGTAATGACAAGGAACACTTACCAACCTGTTGGAATTGCCACAATTTCTATGGCAGAAGCAAAAAGTCATTCTTTCTCTGGTTGGGAAAACAGAAAAGCAATACAAACTTGTGTGAGATGGAGGCTTTCCCTTCCAATTCAGCCACCAGGAAGGAAGGGAGGTTAAGGACACTGAGAGACCCTGAAAGCCAATCGGTATATCACTTTGTATTGTTGTCTGCAAGATTTGTCCTTTCTTTTCACCCAAAAAACATCTTAATGCCATCAGCCAGTCCTAGCTTGTGACACTGTGCAAAGCATCCTGAAGAAACAGGCCAATAGGCTTCTGTTAGCCCTTAGTGTTTCCTTTCAGTCTTGTCGTGTCTCTCTTGTCTGTCAAACCAGTTGCTGTCCACACCCACTGCCAGTTATTTGAGTTCTGTATTAAATAATACAGTAACATACAGCATCCTAGCATTTTTTTCCACACATATAAGTAAAAATATTGCCTCAGGATCACTACTGAAATCAATTCTTACAGTAGAATAATAGCTCTGGTGTTTAGGACCCAGCAACGTTTAACCTGGAGGAAAAGCTGCAAATTCTAGAGCCTGAGGTTTGGTAAGTGGTTGCAAACCCTACTTTTCAGATTCAAAAATGAACTTTCTCTCCATGACCAATACTGCAAGTTAAAAACAAGAATATCTACATTAGTAGCTGAAAAAGCAATGAAGCAAAAACAATATAGCAGGATGTAAGCTGAATAGGAAATGAAACACTCAAAGTCATAAAAGGAATTAAGCACAATTAAACCATCGTTAGGCAAAAGTCTTCCAAAACAGAAAGATGGTGATAAAAGTCTACAGAATGAAGCAGTAATCCAAATAGATTGTCCAGGGCAGGACACCAGAATAGGGCTATAAATAGTCCTTTCTCAGACCTCACAACCTCTGAGGATGCCTGCCATAGATGTAGGCAAAACGTCAGGAGAGAATGCTTCTAGAACATGGCAATACAGCCCGAAAAACCTACAACAACCCTTTCTCATTACTGTATGTTTGTTGCTTTAGGGACAACAGGATAATGAGTTTCTTATTTTCCACCACTACTCCTTGTTGCTTGAATTATTTTGGCAACCAAAGAGTTAAATTCAAGACTTTGTGGGATAGAACAGCCTCTCTCCTCCAAAAAAAATGAGACATCTGGATTTAATAAAATCTAGCAAATGAGGCTGTACTGCCTTCCCCCTTTACAGGCGAACTGTCAAAACATTCCAATGGTGTGAGCTAGAATCTGCGCAGAGTTCGCTGGCAAAGCGTAGAGACGTCAGTACAGCCATGGCTCCCCAACATGCCTTGCTTCTGCTAATTATCTTGGCCGATGCCATCCATGGGCAACAGCAACAGTTAATGGAATACATGGAGAGGAGGCTGGCCGTCTTAGAGGTGAGTGCATGCGATTTGAATGGCAAGTGAGTCACCCTTCCCTGGATGATGTGTACACACTATACAGTATGGGGAGTTATAAAGTTGGCCATTACAGGAACTAGGCAAACATTGCTAGATGTTTCTGAAAAATCTAACAGCAAGTGAATAAACAGCTCCTACTTCAGGTTTCATCTAAGACTGTTTAGGTTTGAAAATGATTCTTGAATTGAGTTTTAATCTACAGATATACCAGCCACAGTCACACTCTTTGATAGAAAGGAGATAATTGCCCATAACTGTAGGTGATTTCAGAGCTGAGACAATGTGGAGAATGTCTGTCAATGCGATGATTATTTCTTCTTATCTGCAAGAAATACAAGTAATTCAGGATCAAATAGGGCAGGTTTGCCAAATTTTAAAGCCTTCTTCTTTTCCCCGAAAAGTCACAAATCTTTTGCAGACAAAGGAGCTTCTAATTCCAAAATACAATGGCTCTGAAATATCCAGTATATACATTTATCAATGAAATCTCTTTATCTGATAATCCTAGAGCAGATACCAAGAGTGTCACAGTAGCTGGATGCACAACACTGACATAGAGGGTAAGATAACAAAAATGTCAAAGACCAGCTGTCTTTACAATCTAGGATAAAGTAAGTGCATTCTGATCATGTTAAAAAGAAAACTCACTATCTTGGTAGGAAGCTTGACAATGTGACCAAGCTTGACAATGTGACCACGAGACTAGGACGCGGAACAATGGCTTCAAACTACAAGAGAGGAGATTCCATCTGAACATTAGGAAGAACTTCCTGACTGTGAGAGCCGTTCAGCAGTGGAACTCTCTGCCCCGGAGTGTGGTGGAGGCTCCTTCTTTGGAAGCTTTTAAGCAGAGTCTGGATGGCCATTTGTCAGGGGTGATTTGAATGCAATATTCCTGCTTCTTGGCAGGGGGTTGGACTGGATGGCCCATGAGGTCTCTTCCAACTCTTTGATTCTTTGATTCTTTGACTCTTTGATTTGATTCTATGAATGCCTTTTCTGTATCAATAGTGGCAGACCGGAAGCTGTTATAGCTGCATTCTAGTTGCTGTTCTGGCAATTCCTATATGTATTTACCTGTGGATTGAGGTCTGTGTGCCAGCAGTAAGGTCAATACACAGTGGTGGGACACAGGGGAAGACCAATTAATGAATTTTATTGTTGCAGTCACAGACATCAAGAATAGTATTCTTTAAAGTATTAACATTAAGATCAAAAATGCACAATATTAAAAGCAGAAAGCCCATAATATGGAGTCGATCTATACAGCTTCATATGTAATACTTATAAAATCAGTGGGTAGGGGTAATAAAATGGGTAAGTTTAAACTTTATCTGCTAAAATGATCCACAAGCTTCTTCCTTGCACAAAACTTAGCCACTCTATTAAGTGATAGATGCAGGTGTCGTTGGTTAATTTGGAACCTCTGAATTACCTGACTACAGTCCTCTTAGCAAGGTGCAGACTCTATACCTTTTTATTAATTAATGAATATATTTCACCACAACGAAAAAGGAGCTGGTAAGAAGGAATGACTCATAAATTAGATCTGGTGATACTGAATGGTAGGGTGAAGGTAATAAGGGTGGGAAGTTCACCTTTATATCAAGCTTTGGAGAATCCACAATATTGTATCACACAATCTCCTGAATTGGGTGTTAGAGGGTAAAGTGGGAGATTACATGTATAGCAACCACCATCCCTTAAGTATATCCCTAAAAGTAGAAAATGAAATAACTCATATTGCTGAGTATAAACAACTGGCAAGATAGAATTGGGATTTCCCCATATTAGATGGTCTGGCCATCTTGATTCTATGATTCTATGATTCTATGATTCTATGATTCTATGATTCTATGATTCTATGATATGATTCTATGATTCTATGATTCTATGATTCTATGATTCTATGATTCTATGAAGGTGTATGCACAATGATGGTGAAGAATTGAAAAGGCAGATTAAAATATTTCAGAAATGAAGTAGTAGCTTAACCTACAAGGATTTTGAAGACACATTCCTGATTTTGAGAATCTATTATTTTCCATATGTTACAGTTGATTCTACAATTTGTTAGATCAAGTATAAAATGGCATGCCAGATTAGCTAAACTATTTAGCCCACTAGGAACTAACTTGTTTATCTTGGTTCCTCTTCCTTCTAATCTGGATGGAGCGTTGCTTTCTAAGGAGCTGTATTCAGTCCTCATCCTGAAGTCATCTATCTCCCTTCTTGTTTTTAGGAGCGCATCTCCCAGTGGCATGATCAGAGCAGCCGTTACTCCACTGAACTGCGGGATTTCAAGAATAAGGTTGTATCAATGCTGGAGACAGTGGAGAAAGAACGGGAAACAATCCGGGCAGAAGTGGAAAACACAGCAGTACGAGTGGACCGACTGGAGCGAGAGGTGGACTATCTTGAAACCCAAAATCCTGCCCCACCTTGTGTGGAGGTAGATGACAAGCTCATGGAAAACCAGGTGTCCACGGCAAGGAAGCGCAAGAATGAGAAGTACGACAAGTTGACAGGTGAGTGAAAGCCTGTCCCAAGGTATGCTGCTGCATGAGGCAAAGCAGCAAATGAAAGGTGCACTCATGGTAAACCACATTACCTGAAGTGGAAGGTATCACCAGTTATTGCTTTTTCCCTGGGAATTCCAAACTCCAAGAATAATCAATTAATCATTGGCTGACTCAGGGCCCATTTGTTCATTAGGCAGAAGACACGACAACCATCACCAGTCGTAAATGCTGGGGCACAGTCATTCAGCCTGCCAGGCATATTTCTGTTATGCAGGACAGAACCCCCTAAAATAGACAATGCTTTCTCATAAGCAGAGCTGAAGCAAATGTCAGTGAGAATTTAACAGTGGTGTGATACATGTGGGCAGTGGGTAGAGGGCTCCAGTATCATATTTTGATTTTAGCAGTAAAATGTCATGGATCTGCTCTGCTTTTCATGACACTTAAATATTGGACACCTCACTCTGCCTAATGGTAAGCTTCCCAACATACACCTATTGTAAAGGAAAACCAGAAAAATATTGCAAGACAGGCTTCAATGTCTTATCATTTTGCTTGATATAATTGGCCTACAGGTTCTTCAGCATGGTCTGTAGGTGCCATATTAGATCCCCAGAACATATGATTTAGGCGTATATGTATGCATGCATGTATGCTGTGCTTAGCTGCAGACATAACATAAAAAAAAATCCTGTTATCATGATAGAAAAAAAATCAGGAAGGAAATAAAAGGAAAAAAAATCCGACCCTTGTATCTCCCAAGATTCTGAACAAGAGCTTGCCATTACAGTTCCATAAAAACATCATGCTTCCCAACACATAATGACTCTCCCAGTTTTATAGGGAGAATCCCAATTACAGTCAGCCCTCCACATTAGTGGGTTTCACTTTTGGAGATTTGACTGTTCATGGATTTGATTAATAGATTCCCTGTAGGAATCCCCTGTAACCCTCTGTCATCCCACTTTTTCAGCTACTTTTAAAATGTCCCAATTTCTCTCCTCCTCTACTGTTGCCTTCAGCTTACTTCAGTTGCTTTAAACTGAGTTCTTAAATGAAAACATAGATTGTGGCAGTTGAGAAGGGGGATCTTTCTAGTGAGCTTTGGCAAAAGCAAACTGTTGTAGCCTCCCCAACTTGTATTATTAATATTTTGCCACTTTGATCACTCTGATGAGTCCCATGTGAAACATTGGAGGGCATGCCCCAAGGGGACAGGTTTTTCTTCAAAACAAACAAGCCAGAAAGCAAACTGACATTGGGGCTCAACAGCATACATTTTTGCTTAACGTTACTTCTTTCATTTGTATTGCCTCATAACCTATTCAGACCAAGTTTATGTAGCATTCAACATATTCACATATTTTACTCGTGAACAAACAGATTGCATTCAAATCCTTCCAAATGAAAGCTAGTAAACCTGATAGCATTTATAATCTGGAGCAAAACAAACAATCAAGGAAAACACCAAACCAAGTGCATTGGAATGGTACAACAACATGAAAACATTGTAATGTGAGTGAGGAGACACTTCAAGGACAAGTGACATTCATTGCCTAGGTGGGGAAATGAGTTGGTAGGACATGGTGTCATTTGTCTATAGCAGGCCCAACAATGTAGCTATCAGCAGGAGGGAAATTGGTTAGGGACCAGATCAGTATCACAGATAGAAAAGTACATCGTACAAAAGTCAGATTTGTGATAAGTACTAGGCTACAATGTTCCATACAATCCGATAACATCTTATTGAAGTCTGGGAGACTTAAGCAGTGCAACTGTGTGTGCAGGATTGCAATATATGTCCCTATCATTCAGTCAAAGTACGTTAGCTCCCTTTCACAGGATTGTGTTTGATGCAATAGCTGTTGGATATGTGTTGTAAAAAATATCTTCCTTTTTATGGTAGAAATAAACATATTATCTCATGATTCAAAGTAAAATATCCCCCCCCCCCCCAGTAATTAGTTTATTGTCAATGACATTGTTATGTAATATATAGTTCAGCAAACATCACAACCCTTACTGGATTCAATTTCCAAATAATTGGCAAGTGAGTGCAAAATCCCATGCCTTAACAAAAGCGTTACTGTTAATTTGGGTTTTTATTGGATTTTTATTTTTATTTTTCTGATAAGTAGACAAGCATCGTTGCTTCTATGGAATTTGCTACACGCAAAAGCATAAGATTTATTTGTATGGAGTTGAAATCCATCAGTTATGGCGGAAAAAAAATCAGATCCTGCCAGATGAAATTTTCCTATCCAAATGCAAATAGTCCACCAGCTTTCCAAATTTATGCAGCTGGGCAAAATTCATGAAAGCTTATGGTATAATAACTTTATGACTAGATAAGATGAATTATGCAGCTACTTCCCCACTGCCTAACCTATCTTATCTCCCCGTTATTTGTCTGGGAACATCTGAAAAAGGTATGCATGAAATGGTTGTTCAACTAATTTGGAAAATCTGTTATTTTTCCAACACTAGTAGTTTTAAATTTGTGAATGTTTGTTAAACTAATGGGGGAGCTAAGCACAAGCCCTGCCCCAATGGGAAAGATTTATGTGGAGAGGCCAGAACAGTGTTGGAAGCTGAAAGGGGAAAAAAGAAGTTTCTGTTTGTGGAAGGGAATTGTGAAAGAAAGAGGGCTTGGGTTATAGAAAGGCCTGGTTTATATATGTATGAAACCAGAAAAGCCCACAAATAATATAGAGTATTCCCCAACAACCCCCCCCCCCCAACTTACATCGAAAGAAATGAGTCCTATATATTCAAAACATAGGCAAGTATGTAGCCAGCAAAATAATAATAATAATAATCCAGCATATATATCTCGTTTGCTGTGACATACTGTGTTTTTGTGTCAGTAAAATAATAATAATAACGATAACGATAACGATAACGATAACGATAACGATAACGATAACAATAATAATAATAATAATAATAATAATAATAATATACTTTATTTCTATTCCATTCTGTCTCGCTGGGGGACTCAGGGCGGATTACAGAATACATATACAGCAAACACTCGAAACCGTTATACAATTAAAAAGGCAGACAATACATAAGCAGAGGTAAAGGCTATCAAAATATGAATACAAAAGACATGTCAAAGAAGAGCAGAAATCCATAAACCTCTATACATGTTGATAAAGTATAGCATAAATGAAAATTAAAAAGTGAGAAAATCTATCAAGCAGCACAATGAATTTGTTGTTATGTGTATTTAAATCAATTCCACCTTACAGATATCTTGGCAAGATGGACTCAGAGGGTTTGCTGCTCCCTTGCTCTAGGGCAGAGTTTCTCAAACTGTGGTCCTCCAGATGTTTTAGACTTCAGCTCCCACAATTCCTAACAGTTGGGATTTCTGGGAGCTGAAGTCCAGAATACCTGGAGGAGTACAGTTTGCGAAACACAGATCTAGGGCTGAATGGGTCTGCCTTGCTCAATGTCACCAATTGTTTTCCATGGTTGTTGTTGTTGTTGTTGTTGTTGTTGTTGTTAATTCGTTCAGTCACTTTTGACTCTTTGTGACCTCATGAACCAGACCACTCCAGAGCTCCCTGTCAGCCGTCACCACCCCCAGCTTCTCCAAGGTCAAGCCAGTAACTTCAAGGATGCAATCCATCCATCTTGCCCTTGGTTGGCCCCTCTTCCTTCCCTCCCTTCCCCCCCCCAATTTTCCCAGCATAATTGTCTTCTCTAAGCTTTCCTGTCTTCTCACGATGTGGCCAAAATACTTCATCTTTGCCTCTACTATCCTTCCCTCCAATGAGCAGTCGGGCTTTATTTCCTGAAGTATGGACTGGTTGGAGTTCTCGCAGTCCAAGGCACTCTCAGAACTTTCCTCCAACACCACAATTCAAAAGCATTTATCTTCCTTCATTCACCCTATGGTCCAGCTCTCACATCCATAGGTGACTATGGGGAATACCATTGCTTTTACTATGTGGATCTTCGTTGCCAGTGTGATGTCTCTACTCTTCACTATTTTATCGAGATTGGTCATTGCTCTCCTCCCAAGAAGTAAGCGTCTTCTGATTTCCTGGCTGCAGTCTGCATCTGCAGTAATCTTTGCACCTAGAAATACAAAGTCTGTCATGGCCTCCATGTTTTCTCCCTCTATTTGCCAGTTATCAATCAGTCTGGTTGCCAGAATCTTGGTTTTTTTAAAATGTTTAGCTGCAACCCAGCTTTTGCACTTTCTTCTTTCACCTTGATTAGAAGGCTCCTCAGCTCCTCCTCGCTTCCGGCCATCAAAGTGATATCCCATGGTTGAGCCTTCTTTATTTCAAAGTCAAACCATGATACCATAATGGCTCACTAGCACAGTACACAGAGGAGAGAAAAAAATTTGACAAGAATTACCATTCATAAAGTCCTGCTCAGCCAGAATATCTTGGAATGACAAGCCAATGAAATGACAACCAACCAACTGAAATACAACAGAAACAGGCAAGTGAATAGAACGATTCCTGTATACATTGCCATGTATCTAAATACACTAACATATTTTGGTTATAAACTTACATTAATCAAACATCATAAAGTAAATGAAGGCTAAATATCATTTAAAAACTCACACCATTAATGAGCTCAGAAAATTGACAGAGAAAATAAGAAATAAGTGTTAAAGTATTGATAAAAATAACACTATCTAATACTATGGACCAAGTCCATAAAAGAGCAAACCAATCTTCAGAAGCAAATCTGTTTCCTTCAGTCCACAAAAATGCAGTCAGTTCAAAATTTCATAACAATGCTTGGGGGGGGGGGGGGGGGGGGGAGGAGCCAAAGTCAAAACCATTGAAAATAATGTCACTGTTTAATCATTAAATAAATGAACAAGCTATAATTAATAACACATCTTAGTAAAATTCTCAGAGGCAGCATCGTGCAGGTTTGGGGGATGGTTCATTGCAAGTCTGATGAAAGATCTATAACTGAACGTTTTAAAAAGACAGAATTGCATTACTTGAAGTGTCAAGTGCTTCAGCTCTAAAAAGCAGATAAACTCCCTGGCTACAATTAATAACTAGTTTCAGTAAGATTCTCAGTAAGGGGGGGGGGGAAGGGAATAATTGTTCAGAGTTATTTAATGCCCTTTGCTAGCCTTTGACCCAGCTTCTTCCAAATGTGTTGGACTACACCTATCGTCATCCTCAACATGACTGACTGATAGTCATACTGCATGCAGATAGGTGATAATCTACCACTTCTGATGTGCAGTATAGGCATCATTTTCTAACATTGCTTCAGAGCATAAGGTTGGAAAAGATTGTCTTGCACAACAGCCTGTGAAAAACTTGTGCTATCCTGCAGAAACCACTACTGAAATAAAGAGGGCTGAAAAATCACTTCCGACAGGTGCAGCTTGAAGAGTTGAAGAAAGTTTAAGTATATCATCTTGTCCTTCATCTCAGGCAACGAAATCTCTTCAGTCTGCCCTGAAAAGAAGGGACTTGCCCACAGTAAACAGATATTATTAAAAGCTTTCTTTAAAGTCCAGTCACTAGAACTCAGCTGCCTATTGCAGCAAACTCCACTAAGTGGAAGCCAAACCAAAGCAAGGAGAGTAAAACAATAGTTTGCCAAAAATAAATTAGAAACAGCTTGAGGACTTGAATTAAAAGGCCAAGCCTGGATTAGGCTGATTTTAAGCAAAGGATCTTGGGCTCAGACATTCAGCAGTGAGCTGCAATTTGGGAAGTTGCAATTTCGGAAGCTTCTTGCCTTCCATCTTGAAACTACCAGAGCCAGTTTGATCCCTAAAGCTTATAGTACATGAAGGGTGCAGTATACATTTGAGAGAAATCAAAGACAACTAATGTGTGAGTAAATGAACAGAAGTGTTTACCACTGTGAGGAAGCTGCCATTTGCTCACCAAGTCAAGACCACAGCAATTGCTTTTGTCAACCAGATGCCGACAGAAATCTCTCAAACAGACAGTGATAGGAATCCCCTGCTACTTCTGATAATGGGACCAAACAGACATTCTTCTGAGCTATCAGGGACATTAACTATTAACTGCCTAGTTCAGCCTTCCAAACGACATTATCACACTGGGGTTTTAATGTGGACAGCCCCATTCTTCTGGTGCCTGCAGAATTCTGGTAAACATAGTTTAGAGTGGGGCCTTTTTTTTAAAAAAAAATATTAAGGTTTTCAGATAACAATAAAAAGAGGGGGAATATATGTTTGGTATAGGAAAGTAGGAAAATATAGAAATTGTGATATTGGGGGATGAAAGGGAGGGATAGTATAAGATTAGATGGAGAGGTGATTTTGAGAAATTAGGTGAGGGGGGAGGGGAAGGAGGAATTGTAGGATAGGGATAGGGTTGGAGTTGGGGTTGGGGTAGGATATATAGTTTGACTTCCAATCTTCTTCACTTCAGGTGAATCTTTCTTTCTTTGATCATTCAGTCACTCACGATGATTTGGCAAGCTCCTTTTTATAGTTTCTCTTAAGAGCATTTCATGTTTGAAAGTTATCTTATGTCTATTAACCATTTCAGGTTCTTTTGCATTGTAAAATTCTTTATTGGTGTCCAGTCTGTTTTAGCTATTTTCAGATTCTGCTTTATGCTCATCCGTTGGGTTATTTTATCCATATTCATGATGTCTGGGATTTTCATTAGCCATTGCTCTTGAGATGGAATTTCTTCCATTCTCCATAATCTTGCATAGTTTATTCTGGCCACCGTCACCAGATAATTAAAGAGTTTATCTTTATTTAACTCTATTTCAAAATCAATTATTCCTAAAAGGAAGTATTCTGCTTTTAATTCCAATTTTATGTCTAGTATCTTTTCTATTTTTTCATGGATATTCTTCCAATATGTTTAGGCAATTTTACATGTCCACCACATGTGATAAAAGGAACCAGTTTGCTCTTCACACTTCCAGCATTTGTCATTGGTTTTTGGATAGCATTTAGCTAACTTCTGGGGTGTGATGTACATCATTTTTAGCCAGTTTTCTTTTAGATTAAACATGTAGGTATTTCATTTTCTTATTCCAAATTATCTCCCAATCTTCTATATTGATTGAATGTCCAATGTTTGCTGCCCACTTGACCATGCAGTCTTTAATTAACTCTGTTTCTGTGGACCATTCTAGTAACTTCTTGTAGATTTTTGTTATTATTTTATTTTCTGAGGTCAGTATCGTGTCCGAGAAAGTTCTTTTGTCCATAAAGCTAATTTTTTTGACTTTATGTAAAATTCTCTAATTTATCTATATTGAAACCATGATATTCCTCTTTCAAGAATGTTTAGTTCCTCTTGTGATTTCATTATATACTCCTTATCTCCCCCCCCCCCCCCGGAAAGTCTTTGTATGTTAACCAGTTGTCTTGTGCTGTCTCCCTTCTTTGGACTGCTTCTTGTGGAAACATCCACTTTGGGGTTTTTGTATAAAAAATTTCTCTGTGTTTTTCCCAGTGGAGCCTTTTGAATACTCAGCTAGAAGGTCCTCACCTTCCTAAACTACATTTCCCAGTATTCTGCAGGCAACAGAAGAATGGGAAAGCCCATTTTAAAGCCCCAGTGTGATAAAGACATTTGTCTCACGACTTTCATATGTGTTGGACTACATTTCCCATCATCTCCTAATCAGTTTGGTCAATTTTAAACAACAGGAGCACTATAGCCAGTAATATCTATTGAGTCAATCAGCACAAGTGCCTGGAGAAGATGGGGAAAATAGTTTGTAATAATTTTGGGAAATGGCGTGGAGAATTGTGCAATACAACTTTCATCAAACAGAAATAGTGGAAGAAGCACCAGTTTTTTACATGTTCCATTCCCTTGTACAAAGCAAGGGAATATAGGATATATTGAGTGCCTTTTGTCTCAGCATGAGCACAGACTAAGGAGGAACTATTAACTGCCTAGTGGTTTAATTTCCTGCTAAAGCAGCCAAGCAAATAGTATAGAAGTGAATCAGTTTTTTTGCCAAAGGTCATTGCAAGGTGACAATAAAAACAGGATTCCAGTAATAGTAAGGGATAGGGCTCATGTAATAATAAGCTTCATCCGAGGTTGTAATAAGAGGCAGGAATCCTGTCTCTTTAATGGTTGTACAGGAAAAGGAATTTCAGCATGAAAAACTATAATTGCTGACATTCCTCTCTATGCAACTATTAAAAGCGCAGGAGCCCTGTCCCTTATTTCACCTGGCAACTCTATCTGAAGCTAAAGGAGGAAATTATGGTTGGAAATCTTTGGATCTTCAGTTGTTTTTAACCTCATCTCCCCCAGACAACAGCCTGCATGGCAAGGGATTATGGAAGCTATACTCCAAACATCTGGAAGACCAAAATACAGTATCCTGCCCCCTCGAGTAAAATAAAGCATTCTGAGCCTACTTTTAGACAACACACTCTTTAGAAAACATTTCTGAAGTGTCTCAAAAAGCTCAGATTCTGAATGTGACTGACACTTTGGAATGTAGGGTTTGCTGACACAATTTCATGTTTTTAAGGAGACAGCCATCTCAGTCTGCCAGAGCACAAAAAGGAAAAAGAGAGGAGCAAGCTAGTGTAATCTTGGGGACTGCTGTTGTTCAGCATGAGCTTTTGTGGTTATCAATCCACTTCTTCAGAGGCACAGTATCACTGACCAAGTATTTATGCACAGTTACAATAATGGCATCAAAATGTAATAGTATACAGAATGATGCAAATTGTGGCCCTGGATTCCAAGACTTTTGAGACAATACAGGTCTTAGATATGGCTGAGGACTGTTATATTCTGACCCTGTCCTTCCAGCTATTTACTGTGCTTAACTACTGGGTTTTGTAATATTGTAGTCCATCAGAGCATCTGATGAATACCCACAGAGGCATTTCCTGAAATAAATCACTCCCAAAGGTGCTCTCAGCAGTTTCTTTCTCTTCCCTCTGCCCCATTTCTCTTTTTGTGTGATGACTTTGTTGCATTCTGATGTACTTTTGCAACTGTGTACTATAGCTTTGTATGAGAGATGAACTGTATAATAACTATGCCTTCACTATTCTTTATAGACTGCAGTGACACGATATCCCAGGTGAAAGCCATGAAGATTTTGAAACGCTTTGGCAGCACAGCTGGACTTTGGACCAAAGATCCTGTGGGTAATTCAGAAAAAATCTATGTGTTTGATGGTACCAGCAATGACACTGTTTATGTCTTTCCCAGAATGAGGGAGTTCACACTCTTCTCTGCTACCAGGAAAGCTGCACGTATCAAGCTACCCTACCCATGGGTTGGCACTGGACACTTGGTGTATGGGGCACATCTGTATTATATTCGCCGACATGGCACTTTCCAGGTCATCAAGTTTAGCCTGGCAAACAAGACTATTGTTGATAGCTCTGTCTTCCCAGCTGAAGAGCAGATCCCTGTCTTTGGTCTTTCATCCTATAACTACATTGATCTGGTGGCAGATGAGGAGGGGATCTGGGCTATTTACGCCACCCAAGAAAATGAGAGAAACATAGCCTTGGCCAAACTAGATCCAGGATCTCTAGATATTGAGCAAATGTGGGACACGCCATGCCCTCGCGAGAATGCGGAAAGTGCATTTGTCATCTGTGGAGCTCTCTATGTGGTGTACAATACGCGGCTGCCCAGTCGGTCCCGGATCCAGTGTGTCTTTGATGTCAGTGGTTCTATGGCATCTGAAGACGCTGCCCTGGTATACTTCCCCAAGCGGTATGGCTCTCACTCCAGCATGAAGTACAACCCCAAAGAAAGGCAGATCTATGCCTGGGATGATGGCTATCAGCTCATCTACCGCATGGAGATGAAGAAGAAGACTGAAATCTGAGAAAGGTCAAGGATAGTGGTGGAAAAATGTTCTACTGCCTCAATAGCTGCCCTCTGGTGACAAGTGCCATATAACATGTACAACAGCAGCAACAAGCACTGACTGGGTTAGACATATTTTTTTTGGAAAAAAGGAATTGCTTCCTGATAACATTAAATGCTTTTCAATAAGATATTGTCTGGATTTTTTTGGAGCAGGGTTGGACTGCTTGTTGTTTGCTTTTCAAATAGGTTCAAACTGAAAAAAGCTTTTTATAAAATTAAGAAAAATGAAAAATCCTCTCATGTTAGGGGAAAATTCCATGTATATGTCACCCTCTCCCCCCATCCAAAATAAATCAGTGGAATAAATTCAGTTTAGATCTAAGGCATATGTATTGCAACGTCTATGCTCTTCTATAGTTTAGAAATCACCAAACCAATGCTACTCTTTCATAGATTTCTCTTTTGGAAAGACAGCCAAAGAAAGATTTTGTAACTAAGGAGGCAGGAACTCCTGACTTCAAGGTAATGCAACAAGTCGGCACTCCCCCCCCCCCGCCCCAAACATACACAGATTGAGAGAGACAGAAAGACTGATTAGTTTAACAAGTGTTATCTGTCTTCTAGTTTTTCTTGTCCTCAGATGTTATAGCATAATTGGACAATCCAGGTGGCAGCTTCCTGCTTGGTTCTTGCACCTTGTTCTTCCCATGGTCACACTCTTTTATAATAATCAGAGTAAGTCTCTCTCTCTCTCTCTCTCTCTCTCTCTCTCTCCCTCCTCCCCCCCTAGTTCTCCACCTCTTTCATTCTGTTTCCATCTTTGGCTTTTTCATAAGAGAGCTTAGAAAACTTCCTTTTTTGTAGTTCATCTTGCAGAATGACCCAGTGGCTGTGCTGGTGGCTGGGGGGCTCTAGGAACTGTAGTCCAAAGTAACATTTCCAAGCAGCATTTCCAGTAATATTTCTTGTCCTGAGACCAGTCCCTCTAATGATCTTCTGAGTTTCTTTGTTTAAAGGGGTTTTTTGTTTTGTAAAAGAGACACTAACTTTGATGGTATTAGTACAATCATCATAGAGTATCCCTGCCACAGTTATTGAGAAAGAAAACCATTTTTTTAAATTCCCAGTTTTCATATCCGGCTATTTTTTGTTCTGAAAATAATCAGTGAGAATTAACTGTCTTTGAGCCTTTAAAATGATTCATTTGGGTGGCCTTCCTTCTCTTTTAGCAATGCAGTTTTTGTATTCATTTTGTATTAATTAATGGATTAATGTTGTTCTTGAAATACCATTTTAATTTTTCCCTTTCTACTTAATTTCTACAAAAAACAAACACCATATGCTCCAGTATCTGACTTCATGGTTTATGCAGATCATAGACAAAAGAAGCTCCACTGGCCATGATGGAGGCAATGTATGGTTGTGTGTTATAGCATGGCCTATGTAGTAGTGTGGTGTACAATGACAGATACTTTTCTTAGGTTCCTATTCCACCAGGGCCCCTGGCATGTTGAAGGCAATGGTCAATAATGACAAAGATCATAGATCACAAAGATCACAATTTTCATAGAATAATAGAATCAAAGAGTTGGAAGAGACCTCATGGGCCATCCAGTCCAACCCCCTGCCAAGAAGCAGGAATATTGCACTCAAATCACCCCTGAGAGATAGCCATCCAGCCTCTGTTTAAAAGCTTCCAAAGAAGGAGCCTCCACCACACTCCGGGGCAGAGAGTTCCACTGCTGAACGGCTCTCACAGTCAGGAAGTTCTTCCTCATGTTCAGATGGAATCTCTTTTCTTGTAGTTTGAAGCCATTGTTCCATTGCATCCTAGTCATCCTAGTCTCCAAGGAAGCAGAAAACAAGCTTTGTTTTGCATAGCTTTGTATTGTTTCTTGGCTCATCTCCCCAAACCCATGTTGGCAGTCAGCTGCTGCACCAAGCAACGGAGATACAGTTTTCTGGAACTGTGGCACTGCAGGAGGACATTTTCCGTGCTTTCCCACCATTGAGCTGTAGTGCAACAAGGAGTTGTGGCAGAGGTCCTGCTTCTGATTGAAGTATTACACCTTGTTGTGGGGAGAGGACTAGAAACATCATCCTATAGGGCTCTGGGATCTCAATCACTCAGTGCTGGCTGTCAAGGTAGATTTGAGGAAGAAATTTGTGATTATTGTATTAGTGCCATGATTGTAAACAACATTAGCAAACGCTGATCAATATGGAAGTCTAGCCTATGTTCAACAGGATGCCAGCCAATATGTCCATCCTCAGACTTCAATGGGCCTCCTGTTTGGCTGAGTGAGGTCATTGCTTCAACTAGCAAAGGCTGGCTGTTCCCCTCTGTTAGAGAACATAGCTGTGTGTTTCAGCCAATTGTGTTTTCTATACTCTAAGGCTGCTTGCTCAAAGTAATTGTCACCAGCATATTAAAAGGAAAAAATCCTGGTCTCCTACATCAGCCTGAGAAATAGCCTTCTAAGATGCTCTACTTGTTGGAAGTGAAGAGACATCAATGCTTGTACAGAGAAATTAGTGTAAGGGTTGGTCCTAGAAACATTCCTGCCTTTTTGTTTCTCCTTTCTTTGTTGATTTATCTACTAAAGCCTTTTGTTTCCTTGCTACCTGCAGGGGTCACTTCGCCCTTCTTCCAAAAGTTAGGTGTCTTTTATGTCCCTTTGTCTGGAGAGAGAGCATCCATGAGGCTCCTGCCTTAGGACAACTTACACCCACAAATGACAGCCAGCTTTAGGGGCTCTTCTACTAAAATAGAGATAATCTTCTTTAGTCTAGATTCCTGTCTATTTCAGATGGGTTTCCTGAAACAATAAATGTACCTTTTCCTTTTTTAACCTTATAAGAGCACCCTGAGTATTTTTATCTCCTGCTTTCTGCCCCAAGCTCATATTACTCTGGCTATGCTATGTTCTACTTCACATGTGTTTCAAGTTGCCTGCCAACTTATAGCAACCTCATGAATTGAGTTGGGATTTCTTAGGCAAGGAATGTTCAGAGGCAGTTTTGCCACTTCTTTCCTCTGAAATAGGACCTGATCTTCATTGATGGTGCCTCATACATACTAACCAGTGCTGATCCTGTTCACTTTCCAAGATCGGACAACATCTGGTGCCTTTAGGATATTTAGGAAATAACCAAACATTTGTATACTTCTGCCCTCAAGTGATGTGAAAGCTGTCCAATCTCCATTGTTAGAGAAAAATTCAACTACCAGTCCTATTTGACTACCAATTCTGCAGATAGAATTGGACATTTTGTTCTTTGCCTCTAGCAGCAACATCACTTGGACTAGTCCTGGTGGCCATTGAAGGAATTTTAAACCAGTTGAGACCTTGGCAGGTGCCTCTGATTGCCCACTATTACAACTAAATATGTGTGTGTCAAGCTTATCTCCAAAGCTGCATGTATCACTTTGCCTTCCAGCTAGCCATGTGCTAGCACTGATTAAGAACATCCCTTTGGGAAAGGCTGCAGTGTACAAAGCATTAATCTGACTTACACACATTCACAGAAATTTGTTTTAACACACACACACACACACACACACATCTGGATAGTTTCTGGCTTTCCCAGCACTAGGGATTTGTTATGGAGGCCTAAGATATGGAGATGCTAAGTACTAGGATGTAATTTCTAATACCTGGGATGGCATGTTTATCCTCTTGTCTGTGTAATGTTGTCAGAGTTCAGTGTTGCTTTATGATACATTTGAAAGAAATGGAAAGGCACTTGATGTTTAGCAGTGCTACTTTTCTTAGATAAGTGCATAGGGCATGCATATGTCAGTTAAGATTTGCTTACTGTAGTCATGTAAATACTGTCATTTTAACAAAAATGCCCATTTTTGGTAGATCACAGTGGAAAGTAAAGCTTCAAATTAAACCTCAACCACATAATTTAAAAACTACCCAGTGGCAAGGTCATTTTCCTTTAAACTTGTAATTGGAATGCAATGATATGCAAACATAAAAAAAGAATGAGTACTGTACTATTGCCACATATATGAATGGCACCCTGGTTTCAAACATGCCTTAAAATACAAAATGCAGTGGATACCATGGGAATGCAAGCTTAATCCTCTCTATTCAAAAGGACCACGATCTATAACCTTGCATTCAAGTTATTTTAAAACTTTATGGCTTTATCTAATGTGGGAGTACTCCTGTTCTAACTCATGGAATAGCTCAAAACAATAGTCCACAATCTTACTTTATACAGGGAATACCTGCTTGGTACACTCCAAATCTTTCTCTGTATCTCATTTCCTCCTTTCTATTAGTTGACACATAGTGAAAAGAGCAATTGTCAGACTGTTTTTGACAAGATTTGGTAATTTGCACTTCTATTGAAATATATCGGTGTTCTAAGTTATTTCATTGTATAGCTGAACACAAATACCATATATATTTGAGTATAAGCCGACCCAAATATAAGCCAAGGCATCTAATTTTACCACAAAAACCTGGGAAAACTTATTGACTCAAGTATAAGTTGAGGATGGGAAATGTTGCAGCTGCTGGTAAATTTCAAAATAAAAATACATACAAATAACATTACATTAATTGAGGCAGCAGTAGGTTAAATGTTTTTGATTATTTACATAAAACTGTAATTTAAGATAAGACTGTCCAACTCAGATAAGATTGATTAAATCATTATTCTAACCTTCTTCAATGTAAATGTGCTTACATATCCTTCCAATAATCATCATAGTTCATTTCAATTACATTTTGGGGAAAATGCTGTGTTTATATGAATAAGGAAAAGTAAGAAAGACTGACGCTGAGAAAGGAGGAGAGGAAGGTGCATGCTGCGTCAAGAGATGAGGAGAGGAAGGAGAGCTGGGTTGCTGTACGGAGAGATGAGGGTTCTGGCAGGAAGACATGGGGCTGAAAGAAGCCCTTCTTTCAGCCCCACGCCTTCCCACCAGGACCCTCACCCGAATATAAGCCAAGGGGGGCTTTTTCAGCCTAAAAAAAAAGACTGAAAAACTAGGCTTATACTCAAGTATATACAGTATATTGTTTCCTGCTGGTTCCCTCTTCATTTTTCTAATTGGCTGCCAGACTGTGAAGAATATCATGGAAGCATGACCACATATTGGATTTTATTGTCCATTGTGTATCCAAGATACAGAAGGCACTTCAGTGTTGGTTCATAAGGAAGAA